CGTTCTAAACAGTCACACAATTATATTTCATGCTCATGCAGATGAGTGCTGGTCAAAGCATAATCCCAAAAGGATTTCGTTTAACTGATTCCGAGTTCCATTTGAGTTGATTTTATCCTGAATGGGCTATTGTCTTCATCTTTCTCTTTATTCCATCCTTCGTTGAGTGCTCTGCCCACCTCATGCAGTGTAGTAGATCTGCAATCAGTGAGATGTTCTGAGCACAAAAGAGGATCCATGCCAAAGGCTTTAATCAGCGGTTGTTTAGCGGCCGTCGGAGGGTGAAGATTTGATCGATGCATCCACGATCGGGGCGAAACCCAGACCAACCAAACCTGTACAATCATTGACGCTATTGGGATCAGGCTTATGCCCCTATGATTGGCGCAGTCACTGCGCGGACCATCTATAAAGATAGGAACGGCAATCGTTTCCCCTTATGATGAGGGGTTCTGCCCAGTGTGCTAAACTTTAGATGACAGAGTCACCAATTCTATAACAATCCTTATTCCGTCATCTTTAAATAGAGCTAAGGGAAGGCCGTCGGAGACGGGCACTTTGTGGTGTCCCAAGGCATGGATCTCCTTGCGGATTTTCGCTTCTGGAGGCAGGTCTGTTGAGACAGACCATCGGATGTGTGCTGGAGTAGTTGTGTGAGAAGCTGATGCTGATGGCCAACTAAATTGTGCATCAAAGTGCTTCGCCCAGCGTGCAAGACGTCGCTTTTGATTGTAAATGGGCGAACCATCAGCTTTGCAGATCGTTTCGCTCACACCCAAGGCTTTCCTACCGATGAACCGGATCAGATGTCATAGTTTACGGGAGCCCCGCCGCCGTCACCCAACTTTAGTGGTAGGCAGCTCTGCTGTTGTTTGGTTCTAAACCACGCCTGAGCTAGCGATACCTTATGTGTTTCGGCACTCCGAGCCCCAGGGCTTAAGTTGCCGGTTACCATCACTGAGCAGCAGGTCTTCGTGACTGTGGGGTCCGGTCCGACTGCTGTTCATCACACGCTGATGGGTAATAAAAAAAATTCCCACAGCGACAGAACGTTTCATCTCTAATGCACGTTGAGTCCACCAGGTTTCGCGATCTCTGCATAGACTTGCGTTGAGTTTACCTTTCGTTAGGAGTCGTGTTGTATTATGCTTACTGCTGGTCGGAATTGACCATATTGTGTCGAGAAGAAATCTAAGGTGTCATGGCACAACGTGCCAGACCACAACAGCCGGCAGAATACAAAGCCTTGTTGATAATCCACCGATGCTGATTGACGTTAGCGGGTGGGGTTGGTTCTAGCTTTTCGCCTAGTGCGCTTTGAAAGACAGTTAGACATGCTGGTTGGGATAGATCATCACAATCTAACCGTCGTTGTGTCGTGTGTTAAGAGCGACAACAGAAACACATGGACAACTTGGTGCAAACTAATGTGTGGTCCGATTCGAGGGGAGTGCTCCAAGACGACCGGGAGTATTGTATGCAGCCTCGCTGTGGCTTAGAGTGATGTGGTCGATTTGTGTTCGTCGCTGACTTGGAGAGGGAGGCTGCCTGCCAGTGTATCGGCAGTCGGAAGCAGCTAAGGTCAATTGAATATCCAGAAGGAAAAATCCAAAGCTCACAACTATCTTTCGACATGTTAGTGTTGACTTTCGGTCTGTCGTCACAGCTATGTGCAGAACAGAAAATCATACCGACTCCAAAACCATCCCATGTATCAAGCCTATGAGCGAATAGGAAACGGACACAAGCCACGAAACTGCAAGGCGACTGAAAAATGCGAACGTACGTCTCAAAAATGAAGATGTCCATGGAACCCTAACTTCCAATAAACGCTCGAACTGTTTTGTAACTGCCTTTTGACGGAACTCGTCTAGTCGGTGATAGACGCTGTACAGTGATAATGATGATGATGATGAGACTAGAAGACAACAAATTCTATTTTCGCCATGAGAAGCCCGCATATCTCGAAATTGGGATACCGTTGATTGTCAGTTGTGTAACTGATTGGTTCAAAAGATTAGGAGCAACTACAAGTGATACGAAAGACAGAGGAGGACCGAATATCCGAGGCTGTGAGGCTGTGCAGCTCGACGAACCCGTTGGTAATGCCTCTTTTTCCGCATCTTTAGCAGGACAATTTGGTTGCTGTTTGCGACCGAATACACAACCAATGACGGCTCCCCAAGGCCTCTATTTGAACCGGATTAGTGGTTAATGGCTATGATAGGTTGGTACTTCAGCTTCAATACGCTTTAACTTGTTTCTGTTCTGAGTGCAGTTACTTGGCTAAGTCCAATGAAATTAGTGTCTCAGTTACCGTATGGCGTATATGGCTGCATTGTATGCCACGAATAAAGGCATCTGTAACCAGTTCATCGTGATACTCTTTTGTTGAAACAGGTTTGCATCCGCAATTGTTGAGAAAATTCCTCAACTGTTCTAGATTTTGATCCAGCTTCTCTCCGTTTTTGTTGAATTCTAGTAGATCGGATTTGTCGTGGAAAAGTCTCGCTTTTCTCCTTGGGATAACTTTTTCTCAGTTTTTATATGATGCCAACGATAGGTCTACAATCCCCTATTTGTTTTGTAGATAGAAAGAGCAATACGGTTTTCCGGAGATTAGGTGGATAAAGATTGAGTTCGTTCGATAAAGGTGAGAAAAGTTGTGAGTCTTTCCAGTGAATCTGGTGGTTCCCTGCTTGAAGTGTTTGGGGTTCTCTCGAATCTCTGTCCGAATTATTTTTCTACTGAAGAACAGTCAGTCGAATAAATAGTGATAAATCCCTGAGCAGCAGGAGGCTCTGATCGTAACAGAAGAAATTTACCGTAGTTTTTATTCTATTGTTGAATGGAGGATAGTGCTACAATGGAAATGATGGCGAATGTGAGTACATTAAGCATTGACGAATGATACCAGCACTGTCCAACAGCTGAAACTTCCATTCTGTAACAAATAGTGTTTTTCTTTTCGTCCGGATATGAGATTAATTCAACGAGAAGGAAAATGAACGTCTTTTTTTTTTACAATAATCAAATATTTTTCATGCAAATCTGACGGGATGAGTGTACGGTCAACTTTATTTATGAAAACGAACTTGTTCGCCACGCTGTTGTTCTCAATGTGTTCTGTGGGACTAATGAAACGATAACCAAAGATGTTGGCTTTTACCTTCTTCCTCTATCTCCGTTCCTCACTGTTTCATAGCTTCTAATAAAGCTCATTTGTGATTTGAAGTCGATGGAGGAGTCTGTGATTGAATTGAAATACGATGCTCGTCGTGCACCTTTGGGAAAGCTTAAGAAAGCACAAATCAAGGAGGGCTACAAAGCGTTGACTTCCATATCGAACTGCATCGCTCAACTGGCCCAACTTTGTTCAGGTTCCGAGTCGAGTGACGGAAAGTCTAGCGGCAAGAAAAACAAGCGGGTAAAAGTGAACGCATCCGAAAAACGAAAGATAGAACAAGATCTGCTGATGGCGTGCAACATATTCTACACTCGTGTCCCCCATGATTTCGGGTGAGCTATTTTCCTATCCGGTTTTCCAATAATGTTGGCATAACTTTTCAGCGTCACAGCACGTAATTTATCTCATAAACAATGTTGCTTTCTTTGATGATCATGTTTTCTGGTATTTATTTAATATTAGGTACTGTTTTCTGTTTTCTAAAGTCTGTTGTAAAACTTGGTTAGTTTAAGACGATTAGCATTCTCCTCTAGTGATAAGAAAATGTAATTTAAAACACTCACTCTCAACCACTTAATTTTTTCCTGTGGATTTTTCTGCATTTCTGACCTAGGACCCTTTCTTCTATTTTATCACATCTCTGATTAATTTAAGTTACTTTATAACTTATTTTGCGCGATCGAAACCTCTTTTTATCTTTTCCTCTCCAGTTCTCAAATGTAATCATCGGAAGAAAAAAACGAGTATCTGTAAAACTTCTAAACTCTCCTTATCAAGCGTGAGATCTGTCGATTCAACGCTCGGCTCAGCAATATATAGCTTACCCTTAGGAAACTGTGGTTCACGGGCAAGCTAATAGTCGAATGCTGAAAAATCAGATAGGCGCTTTACAACCTTTGCCGGAGTCAAATTTTCTTGCTGCCCATTCCGTTCCTAATGATATCAACTTTATCAATCCGACGGAAGTTCTACCGGCTTTAAAGTGTCCTAAAGAAAATACAGTTTCTATGGGGAATTTCATCATGTACAGAGCAAATGAAGCGTAAGATTAAAGCTAGAATGCCCTCGACGGTTGCTTCATTTCACGCTTCATTCGCTCTGCGCACGACGACCACTTGAATCCTTCACTGTTCGCATGCAAAAGTAGTTATGATTTGCCCCCCTGATTTACTAAAGGATACACCGAATAGCGCGCAGAGCCTGTGACTGAGATGTTCAAAGGACTAATACTGTTATAGGGACTCCTTTCGTACACTTTCAAAGCTCGCGTACGTATAGCATTGAGTAAATTTTTACGGGAGGCATATATATATATATAATTCTACTGCGTCTTGCAGCTGCAAGGAAGGACCAGTAAAACCGACCAAACACTTCAAACCGAAGTGACCGTGCGTGCGTGAATCAATAACTTAACCTAGCCCACGTATTCTGGCCGCACCGCGTCATTGTACACCACGGTCGAAAATAGTCAAGAGATGGAATATACAAAAACAGCTTTTCTGTTACGTCATCGCTCACAAACGTCGACTAGGGATAATGAAGTCATAATCAGAGCATGTTTTCATTCTCTTCGCCCACGATTTGTGTTCTGATTACAACGATTTGTGATTTAAGCTCGTCATTATCAGTTGCTCACAGGAAACCCATCATCTGCTCCCAGAAGCGTATACCGTTTACCCTTGGCTCGTTTTTGTTTTAACTTATCACGCGCAACCAGAGAAACTAACCTACACACACAAACGGTTTCAGGTCACAAGCGCTGTTTTGCTTTTATATTTCATTCATCTCTTGTTCTCCAAACTGCTAAACTATGGAGCATTCCTCTCCCCATCATCTCTACAACTTGAAAAACTCGTTTCTTTGAATGCGGAATCCATTTGTTCTACTCTCATCTCTGGTATATTCTTATAAGGCTTACAAGGCAAAATTCAGCGACGAGTTCAGAAAACATTTGTGTGATGTCGTCGATGCGAATCCTACAATTACGTTGAGGCAGGTAAAGGACAGAATGAAGACGGACTTCCCAGGTACATCTATCAGCAAGAATTCCATTGATCGACTGCTGGATGGACATCACTATTCGGTTAAGAAGCTGACCATCCGGCCGGTGGAACGGAATTCGGAAGCTTTCAAAGTAAAACGAGCGGAATATATCGATTGGTTACAGAGATCGGAAAACGCAGCACTGAGGGTGTATATTGACGAGACCAGTTACAACATATGGTTGTTGTCGCAGCTATAGGCGATCCAAAGTGGACTGTAAAACCAGCAAAGGACCCAACTGGAACATAACAGCATGTTCCTCTTTCGCCGGTATCTTGAAATAGGAATGTCATAAAAAGATCACTTAGCATGTTTTGAATGGGTTTCTATCAAGCTGCTCTATGTTAATCGCTACTGAGAAACCGGGTGTCCCAGTTGTTTTTATCTTTGACAATGCTCCCGTTCATCGGAGAGCTTTGGATGCGCAGTTACATGTCAACGACTAGATTCGATTTCTTACACCATACAGTCCCTTTTTTAACCCACTGGAAGAGGTCTCCAGTAAATTCAAACAGGTAAGCGTTTTTAATCCTTTAATTCGCTTATTATTTAGCACATTAAAAACTGGTTCACTGAAAACACTGAAGCCATACGAGATGTGCCAAATGGTTTGATGACACGGGCACTTTGTTTAAACCTACTCCAATGTGTGGTGCGGCATTTGATACCGTTACTATAGTCGACTGCGCAGCATAAAATCGCCACACCTCATATCTTAGCCAAGCTTTGCAATATCAAAATAAATAAAAAATAAATTTTCTCAACATACGTTAACCCCGGAACATTCCGATACTTTTTGACCTGACTTGCTTACAGTGGTTTGTGAGTCAAGGCTAAAGGACTACGGATCGTGGCTAAAGCATTTCGGGTTTTGGTGAAAGGGATGTGTCAAGGCTAAAGGATTACGGGTTTTGGCTAAAGCTTGACGGGAAAAGATGCACTACGATTGTTCTCTCCACGCTCACTCACACTATATACTCAGATTATGGCTTTTACTTCTCTCACTGTATATACTATCGTGCAAAAAAAGTGTGGTTTCGGACCTCACTGCGATGAAATTACAAAAGGTTGTTGAATGGAGTTCTTGATTTTGATTCACTTCATCTTCACACGTAATTCTCACTTTGTATTCATGCCAATACATCTCAATATATATCACTACTTGGGAATAAAATTATCATGGGAAAATAAAATAAAATAAAAACAGATTACTAAAACCGATTTCATCGTGAGACCGGAAATCGGGTTCACCACGATCACATGTTTGTTTGTCTACTCATCCGACCATCGAGATTACTCACGATGCGGTTTGTATGGGTGGTGGGCCAGGGAAGATTTAGCGCTTGCACAAATTGTTTTTGGGCACACAGAGGGGGTTTGTGCAGACGAATGCCTACCGTTTCTGCCGTAGCCAACATCCGACAGCGAACCTGCCTCGA